CCAGGGCTTTACTTCCTTCTCTCATTGGTATGCAGTCATTTCCAGACCAGCAGAGCTATTCCCAGGAGCTGGGAGTCCAGAAGTCCTAGCTACCCCTTCTTAATTGACTAGGCTGCCTTATAACTCGCAGTCTAAAATGAGCCTGTAACAAGAACTGGCAGTGTCCACCGGATTACTTCTGTATTTACAGATAGCATCTACATAGTCTCAGTACAGCTGTCCGGTATTCCACAAGGGGATGAACAAAAACTCTACAGTTCCGGAGGTCAGAAACAGCTAGGGCATTTATGCTCCAACAGGAATAACATCTGCAGTTGACTCCAGATTCTGAATTTCCTAGTAACTAAATCTACTCTAGCTTCCAAAACTGCACATTGAAAACTTGTCTGTTCTGAGTCCCAGGAAATCTGCAACATTTGTTTCTCCTCCTCTCACTTTGCTTACATTTGAGCTCAAACCACCAGATCCAGTGAAACCCAGATATTAATTAAACTTGAGAGCTCCTGAGAAAATCTGGAATTTTCCAGTCATATTAGCATGATTCATACTATCAGTATTTTGAAATCTTATACTTTTACTGTAAGTTCTCCCAAGCAAACATACAGACTAGATGTATTCATATGTGCATTATATATTGTGACATTAGGTAAGTTGGATGGCGATTTGAAAGCCTGCTTCTCATGAAGGAGCAAGCTTTCCAAGTTCTCCAGCTCTGAGCATAATAAGATTCTTCATTTGGGTTGACGAGAAAATAACCTAGAGCTGTCCTCACCCCATCACCACTGCCTCCGGGACGTACTGCAATTACCCTCTGCTGAGCTGCTGATATGCTCCGCCCACTATTACTTACCTTGGAGTGTTTTTCAAAGTGAGGCAGGGACCTGTTTTCAAAGCCATCTGGCACTCGAGAGCCACTGATGGCCTGCTGTCCGACACAGGCGATCATCTGTGATATATTAATAAAGGAACCTGGGAGAAAGAGACCAGGGCAAACATTCATTTACCTGCATAACATTAACTTACATGCAAGCAGTGTTGAGGGATACCAAAGGGATAACATTAGTTTTACAACTAGGACCTATCCTCACAAGTTCACGGGGAAGAAGAACCAGCATAACTAGACAAACAAGGCAGAAGGCTGTCCGTAACACACAGCAAGCAGAGCCAGT